TCTTCCTGACCTGGCCAATTTCTGCCACCGCATGCCGCTGCACGTCGTCGCACGCTTCCACCTTGGATCTTTCCCCAGCGGACAACATCTTCTTCCACGACCACCTCCTCCCAACCTCCATATCTTTCCATGATCGTCTACCAACTCCCCTGCCAGCCTCACCCAGTTGCCTACAAAACATACCAAAAAAACCGTTGTGTCTCCCTGTCCCGGCGTCCCCTGCCCCAGCATGCTATATCCCTGATGTAGCACTCAGAATAGCTCGACATCCCGGTTTGAGTAGTTAGATCGGCTACACCGGTCTAGGAAGGGCTTAGGCCTGTCTAGAAGTAAGCAATCCAGTCAAGGAGCTCGCATTCAAGCTCAAGGTGTCGACCGACCTGGAGGTACCGACCTCCAGGAGCTCGACAATAAAACCGACCTCAAGGTATCGAGGTCGTAAGAACTGAAGTCGAAATAAATCTGAAGAGGAGATCAAGTTCGACCTCGGTTAAGTCGCAACAAGTAGGTCAGGAGGTCGTAGTTATGGCCCAAGGACCTAAGGACTGTACAGTACGGGGGAAAGAATCCTAGTAAGAAGGAAAGTATCACTAGTCCGATGAGACTTTTCCAGATAGAGACATGGTAAGTTAGAAAATGTGATCTGGTTGGATTTCTTTCCTAACATGGACTCTCTTGGGCATCAAGAAAATTGTTCTATATAAGGTTATTAAGTCCTTCTTCATTGAGATATCGCATTTTACGCCTTAAGTTACATATTCTCTTATATATTTGTTGAAAAAGTTCTGACTTGAACGTCGGAGGTTTTTCGTTGGGACCCTCTCCCGGCGTATTGCAGGACACTGAAACTCAAAGACGAAGGAGGTTCATGGCGTAGGTGGTTCAATTTAGTTCGTAATGAAAAGTGACACAAGAAATTTGCAGCGTCTATGGGAACGGGGGTCAGTATTTTACCGGCTATAAGGTTTGATCGTATTCTCACAATCATATCGTTAAGAGAAACGTTTTCATGAAAACCAAGAAACCATGGAAGGAAAAACATCAACAGAAGTATCGAAGGGTAAAGAGATTCAAGTAATAATAGAGGATTCCCCGGAACAAGGCAATTGTAGCAAGTCGTGGGAAAAGGTCGCGGGGATCCAGAACGAGCAGCCTGAAGCCACTATAAGCTTCGAGCCCGAGGATGTTGAGGGTATTTCTGCATCACACAGATGCCTTTGTGATAACAACATAGATCGAAAGTTATGTGATACGAAGGGTCATGGTGGACATAAGAAGCCCAGTCGACATCATCTTCCTACATTGCTTGGAGTATCTAAAGACAAAGTTTGAGTTGATCAATACAACTCTAGGAATTTAATGGAGGTAATGTCAAGCCAGAGGGCGAGGTGTACTTGTCAGTAGTGTTGGTCAGTTGCCATTGAATAAAGAAAGGTTGATCAGATATTTGGTGGTGGACCTTGACTAACAGTGTCATTCTAGGACGACCCAACTTGAACACTTTCAAGGCAGCAATATCAACATACTGTATGGTGAAATTTTTCGGTCAGTAATCAGGTCGGTGAGGTCTCGGGAGACCATAGACAGACCAGGAGGTGCTAGAAAATCATGCTAAAAAACTCAGAAGCCCAAGGAGCAAAGAAAAGCCTGAATATGGACTACCCTGAGAGCTCGGGTAGAAGCACTAAGCATGAAAAGGTGGAGATTTCATCGCAAGACGAACTCATGGAGGTCGAGATCATAGAAAAGAAGATCGGCAAGGTTACCAAAGTAGGTCACCACCTCCTAGAGGATAAGTTGACACTAACTCCAGAATCCCACTCACATATTACCTACTCTGGTGGAAAGCTCGCAACTTATGAGTGTTTCAAAATCAGTGGCTTGCAAAATTCTCCATTGTTCAATTTGCAACCTTTGATCGGCTTAAGCTCAATTCTTGATTTGCTTAGGTTGTACCTTCTTTTGTTTTGGAGAGCTGAATTGTGTTAGTGGTAGTTAGTTGTTGTTTTAGTTTTTGTCGGTTAGGCTGATGTTTTAGGTCTGTGGACTTTGTTAGTTTGGTTGGTTGCTGGTTGCTGCTTCTGTTTCTTAGATGGTTTACCTACTAGGCTTCCTGGGTACAGTGGTAGGAACCCTTTTTGCTAGGTGCTAGCTTAGTAGTCTTCTAGTGTTGCTGTTTTAGAGGTCATGCTCCTGGTTCGATTGCTTTAGTCACCGCATGATGCAAGCACCTCTACATCAATTCCTTTTGCTTTTGGCTATGTTTGGTAATCAAACAAGATAGCTTACAGTTTATTTGGTTAGCTTATAAACTTTCTGTATTTAAATAAGCGTTGTTTGGTTGGACGAGCTTTTTTAAAAAACTCGATTTTATCTCATAAGCTTCTTTAGGTAGCTTTTCAAATAAGCTCGTTGAAATTTTTATTTCAGCTAGCTTATTATCTAATTTTACCAAACACTTTTATTATATAAGCTAAATTTTCAACTATAATAAGTTATAAGATATAAGCTAGAAAATCACTTATAAGCTATAAGATAACTTATCAGCTATCAACTAGCTTATCTACCAAATACAGAAGTTTAGGGCTCTCGTGTTAACGTTCCTCCTAGTCTACCTCGTGGTAGTATAGGCGTGTGCTATCGTTGTTGTACATTTTTCTTTGAGTTATAATATCTGCCGTTTTGAAAAAGAAAATCATAATTTAAAATGTTATACAAAAAAATAATCTTTCACATATAAATTTTCATATTTATTACATTATACTATCGAACGATGTAATTATAGAAGTGACTGGTTATATTGTTCTAAATCTGCAATTGTATAAGTGATTGGTAATACATTTTATTTTTAACTAATATAACTATTTGAAAAATTAAAGCTAGAATGTTACGTAGTGGAAAAGGGAGAAAAAAAAAAAAGAAAAGAAAAGAAAAGAGAGAACTACTTCTCAAAGAAAAAACATATTTTTGATTAAATTAATATGCATGTTTCTTGTGAAAATAAAAAAATAAAAAATGCATGTTTTCAATTATTATTTTGTCACAATCACAAATAATTATTTAGTAAAAAGTAAATGTGAAAAGTACTGAGAGAGGTGAAAAGGCGTCATTCACACGAGGCTTGACAAAATCTGTCACTGTGGATCCAGGCGACAGATAAGCAACAGCATATTCTCAACATCAACTACCCCAACAGTAAATATTTTTCTTTACTCTCTCCATCTATCTATCGTTCGTCGTCCTCAATAAATACACGCTACTCTTTACACACTTTTGGTCCCTCCTTTTACTGCCCCCTTTTACTTTTTTCGTTCCACCGACGAAAAACCTTCCTACTCCGCCAGCTGTTTTTCACTTGTTTATCGAGCTCGACTGACGGTGTTGTCGGTGTACGGTGGTGGATCTAAGGGCGGTCGCCGACCGGAAAATAAACAAAAAAGAAAAAAGAAAAGAAAAGAACCGATGTCGTCCGGAAGGTACATGTCTTACTCACCATCTCCATCCGCGCCTCACTCTCCCCACATCGGCGCCCCCTCGGCCGCCGGGGGAGGTATCCGAGCCGCTTCTGCTCTGGTGGAGCAAGAAAAGTAATCCCTTTTTTTCTCTTTCTCAAGATTCTTTATTTATCATGTGATACTGTGTATTTAAAGTAGGAGGAGCTCTAGGTGAATGTTAAAAGTCAGATCCTGCGAACCTTCTGGTTCTGATTTTGTGTTTGTGGTCAGGTGATTTAATCGCTAAACGTTTTTGCAGTCTTGATTCAGATTTCATTGATGGTTTAACCGTGTTGTATGCAGTGATCATGTTGTTAATAGGATTGTGGTGATATAATTTGTGTAGCAGACGTAGTTTTCTTTAAGTTGTGTTGCTTCTTGATACCAACAGTTTTCTGTTGTTCCAGTACTCGTTATTATCATATAGTCTGAATGTGTTTACTTTGTTCGGATTATAATTGGGGCGGTCTGATTTTGTGAATCAAAAATATGTTTCAACCCTGTTCATAGTAGTTGATATGTTGGTATGTCGGTAGTAATGCAACAATTTTAATATAAGACACTGAGGATAGTTTAAAATTTTATTGTAAAAACAATCAAGCATGCAAATATAAACATTTCTTATAACCTTTGGAGGCACGTGGTTATTTCTGAAAGATTTGCTTTTAGTGTTGATATTTGTTATGTCATTACAACTGACACTGTTTTGTTATTGCAACATTGACAGGTATCTGGCAGAGCTGCTGGCAGAACGCAACAAGCTTAATCCCTTTATGGCTGTGCTTCCAAATTGCTACAGGTTGCTAAATCAGGGTGAGTGTATGATTCAAAAACCTTAAAATCTCTTGTTTCAGAATATTTTTTAGTTGCAAATTGACCCCCCCTCTTTGTTCCATTTGGGATAATGCTCTTGTTCTATGAGATGATATTTACTTATGCCATTTTGTTTTGCCATTCACTCATCCCCTCATTCATACGTGTCGGTGATTTGTATATACAGATCCTAAATTAACTGATGATGAAATTTGTTGTTTTATCATTATCAAGAACCAACTGTCCACGAAAAATTCAAGGAATGCCAATTATACCATTTGGAGTTACTCACCTTTGTTCCATTGTAATGTTTATTTCTTGGTATATAAATTCTGTCGCCGGATAGCCAAACAAGTGGTTTCTGTTAATGCTAATGCCCCTTTCTGGTTACACCTACAGCTACTAGTGAGGATCTTGGGATGGATGCTAAAATTCTTAGTACATATGATTTTTCAGATTATATGATTGACAAATACAAACTTTGCTAACCCATCGCGTCCTTCTAATTATTGAATTTGGAATACTTGTATTTCATTATTGATCTTTAAGGTAACATGAGTGAGTTTTGGGTATCAAATGAATTTCCACAGAGGCACCAAGATGCCCAAGATTCATATTTGACAATGTCTACCACGTTGAAGACATCAATATATTCACAAAAAGCACAAGAAGTTCAATGATTTAGTTGTAAACTATATATGTCTAGTTAACTTTTTGGTTGGTATTTGCTTAGTAGTGAGTTCAGCTAACGAACATTTTTTTTTGGTCAAAAAAATGCCACTGATTTTCGGTGAACTTGGAACGTAGGGCTCATATTCATCTTTAGATGGCAATAAAGGTTTAACTCCAAGGGTATAGATGGATGCTTGTAGCACTGTGAAGTGGCTTTGCCAAGCTGTAGAAGAACATTTCTGCTATTTTTCTTTCTGGTACCAATATGGAGAAATGAACTCCACCATCTCATGCAATCTATGATTTACAATAGACTGGGTTGACAGTGCATACAGCATAGTATTGCCTTAATTTTCTAACTGTGCTAGGAATATGGAGGCTAACCGCATTTTGTTTAGGTCTAAACTTTGGTCGTGATGTAATATTCAGTAAATATTTTCATGGAAGTCTTTTTGTGATATTTTTTTAACATTATTAACCTTCGAAATTTACCTTATCCTTTCAGAATATTACTAACAGTTTTAACAGTGTGTTGTGTCCATATGACTGCTCGCTAGATCTTAACAATGCTAACTGGTACATCTTATTCTTGGAAATTGACCTTTTTGAAACAGAAATATTGCGTGTAACTACACTGTTGGGGAATGCATCAGTTTTAGAACAAAGTGGGCTTGAACATGCGAGCCCCCTGGCTTCAGGAGGAATATATTCAAATGGAGGAGCTAACATGAACAGATGGGCATCACCGTTTCAATCAGAAGTATGGATACTAACCATTAACATAACTTTATGTTTGATCCAATTTTTTACTGATTTTAGAAACTCTTAAGGAAAGATAGAAACCTTACATTTTATCCTAACTTTACATTTTGATTCTAATTCTTCTAGGTTCAATTTCTGATTGACAAGTAGTTTGATGCTAACAACTTCAACAATTAAGTAGAGATGCACGACATGTCAAATACTAAACATTAACATAACTTTATGTTTGATCCAATTCTTTACTGTTCTTAGAAACTCTTCAAGAAAAGAAAAAAGAAACCTTACATTTTATCCTAACTTTACATTTTGATTTTAATGCTTATAGGTTCAATTTCTGGTTGACAAGTAGTTTGATGCTAACAACTTCAACAATTAAGTAGTGATGCACTGCTTGTCAAATACAGTGCTTTCACCTATACTGGATATTTTTGTAACCATATGCCATTATTATACCTTTAGCATTGATTAACATGTTTATTGTTCTAACTCTAGGCCATTATACTTTTAACATTGATTAGCATGTAGGATACCATTTTATAGTTGTGTAACTCTAATCTTAGCCGAAGGACGTTACTCCTTGTGACTATTAACTGTTGACTTACTAATTTCATTGGCCAATTGAGTCAATGGTGTGACTCCCACTGTGTTACCTATTCTTCTCACAAACAATTGTAAATATTTCCATTTCATATCAAAACCTGGTACAATCAATGTGCCAAATTATGACATTTGGTGTCTCAGGTTGTCTGCTGCTTGCTTTGGCATGCTTGGTATAAATTGTATTGTCTGCTTTCTCTGGCAATTGTGCTTCTGAAACTGTTGAAGATGTTTTTATGAAGTTCGAATTTTCTGCTAATTTGAGACATTTGTTGAAAAAACATACACAATGGGAGGAGAATCTTCTTCACCATTCATAATGTTATTACAATATGTTGGGATTATAATGTGCAGATGTCAGGTCTGATGCGAACCTCCTCTGCGCCAAACTGGCTTGCTTCCCAAGGTAGTTCGTCAGGTCTCATAGTCAAGAGAACAATCAGGGTCGACATTCCCGTTGATCAATATCCGAACGTAATAATTTTCCCTCCAAGTGGTGTATTCTTGATGTGGTATTTTATTTGGCACGTCCCATTTCTCATTCTTATTATGTTTTCGTATGTTGCAGTTCAATTTTGTTGGTCGACTCCTTGGTCCAAGAGGAAATTCACTGAAGCGTGTGGAAGCAACTACAGACTGCCGTGTTCTAATCAGAGGACGAGGCAGTATAAAGGATCCAGTTAGGGTAATTTCCTTCTGGGCCTCGTGTTAAATTTATACATTGATTAGCATTCATCTTAAAGAAAACGTTTTTTCATCAGTTTTGAAATGCAGAAAATTTTCTTATGTGTGCTTATTTGCCCTTAGAAAATTGAAGCTTATGTTGCAAGATTAACTCTGTTTCTACATTTGCTTCATTCTTCTCAACACTTAGTGCAACAACTTGCTATCACTAATGTTTCGAAATACTGGATTTGTAGGAGGAAATGATGAGAGGAAAACCAGGATATGAGCACCTTAACGAGCCCCTTCATATACTTGTCGAGGCCGAACTGCCAGTCGAGATAATCGATGCTCGTCTCATGCAGGCGCGTGAGATACTCGAAGATTTACTTAAGCCAGTGGTAACTTCCACCTACCATCCATATTACCTTCCCTTAGGAGCATAATTTCTCTTTAACTTCATATTTCTCTTTGGCCTATTTTTGTTGTCCTATTCTTAACTCTTTATCTTAACTTTTTAGACTCTTTGACTGTATGCATCTTTTAATGCAGGATGAATCGCAAGATTTTTACAAAAAACAGCAGCTGCGTGAACTGGCTATGCTCAACGGCACACTCAGGGATGAAAGCAGCTCCCAAATGTCGGCTGGTTCTGTTTCCCCCTTCCACAACAGCCTTGGGATGAAAAGAGCGAAAACCCAGGGGTAAAACAGTAATTTCCAGAGCTTATGTGTTTTCCCTGCCTAATAAAGGCAGTTCAGATAGTATGTGTATTGCTGTGCCAGCTGATGTCTCTTGCCGACACTTACTGGTCCTAATCCGTCTCTATGGAAAATGAAGTGTGCAGCTCATAATGTACTTGGAAATGAGTTAGTAGAAGTGTACCATAGTAATGTATTCGTGAGGGGTTCGGTTTCTGTGTGCTGCCTGGGGCAGCTTGGTTGGAAGGTGTAATGTTCTGTGCCGTCGACGTATTATTTCATTTATTGTGTATGCTTGTAATGGGAATTCTGGGTGAGATTTTGTGAGTGGATTAACTAAGATGTTACTTGAAACGATTCTTTATAGCTCGTTGTGTTTGTATCTAGGTGGTTTTATGTGAAATTATGATTCAAATTTTGTTTTGTTTTTAATTTTTTTTTTTTCAGGGAAAACATGGTTGCCTCTACTCTATTCAAGTAGTCAAATAGTTGCAATCTTGAAAGGGGCACATCAAATCCTTATCAGAATTTGCTTCAAGTTTTAACTAGTTTGTTTTTGTTTTCAATCTTCCTCTCCCTAGACTGCGAAAAAGGGGCGAACGCTTTTCTTCTTAAATAAAAAAAGTGAATTGCTAAATATCGTTCTCTTATTACTATCTACCGCCCACTTTCTTTTTTACGTTTTCGTCCTTTAGCTCTCTCTTTCTCTCTCTTACTCTCTCTACTCTCTCATTTCTTCTCGAACTCTCTGTCTCTTTCACTCCTTGTTTCACCTCTAAAAAATGTCAAATCCTCGTCACGGCTGAGGCAATGGATTCATGATTGGTCCGGTATTTTTTTTCTTGGCTTTGTAAAAAAATTTTTAAAATTTTTTAAGTGAAACTGCGTTCGCGGCCGGCCGCAGATGCTGGTCGCGAAGGAGGTGTCCTGCCGCAGATCGCGGCCGGCTACGGCGCGACCGGTATCTAGGGATTGGCCGCGCCATTCCCGTCCAGCATTTGGGGCCGGACGCAGCCTTGGCGTCCGGCATCTGCGGCCGACCGCACGGTAAACGGCCGCCATTAGAGGCTGGCGAATCCCGAGGCTTCCGTCTTCGCCATTCGGTCATGCGGTCCGCGCCGTTCACCGGAGGCCAGTCGGAATTCAATTTTTTTTTTCTAAATAATTAAAATTATTTAAATATGTTGAAATATTAAAAAATAGAATTGACTTAATTTTTTGATTTAGTTAATTTAGATAAATTTTAGTTTAGTGGTTATTAATAATATGTTGCTCATAAATAATATATTATACATAATAGTTAAATGTTAAAATTATGATAAAAATAATTTTTAATAATAGTAATTATTAATAGGATAATGCATCTAACTTTAATATTTTTAGGAAACGAAGTAGTTGTAATATATGTAATAAAATGGTTTGTTGAGTAATTATTAGTTTCGCAAAATTATAATTAGTATTTTAATTTAATTTGAAGAAATTGTATAATTTTTTAATTAATTAGTTGTATAATTATATAATCACAAAGTGGAATTATCTTAATTTGTGGTTACAAATAATTACTAAATTGATTTTTAATACTTTTTAGGAAAATAATTACTTGTAATATTTTATAATGTATATTAGGTAATAGTAATAATTAATAATATTAATTATGATTAATTTTTGTAAATATTATTAATTAATAGTTAATTGTAATTATCTTACAATAATTAATAAAATATATGAATTTAAAAAGGTTGTTTCTTTTTATTAGTTTAAATTGTTGATTTAGACTGCTGGTAGACCTGGGCGACAAGCCACCGATGAAGAGGTTGTCGAGTATTTTGGTTCTGGACCCCGATACACGAAGAGTCTAACCTAATAATAATAAATTCTAATTTATAAAATAATCAATTCTAACTTATAACATAATAATTTCTACTAATATAAATTTTTTTTTCTAAATTCTAAGTTCTATTTATAAGATAATCAATTCTAACCTATAACATAATAATTTCTACTAATATAATTTTTTTCTAAATAAAATTAACTAATTTATTTTTAAAAAAAATGACAGACCGGCCGGCGAAACTGGCCGACGGGCTCGGTCACGGCTGGCCGACAAGTTAAGCCATGTAAGGGCATGGTTGGCCGCAGATTGCAGCCACCAATGGCCCGACCTAACTAGCCGACTGACCGCGACCGAGCCCGGCTGCAATCCCCGATCGGCCAGCAGCAGTCTGGCCGGCTGGCCACAAAATCGCACCTTGTCGGACGACATTTTCTCGCCGAAAATCGCCTATAGAGAGGATTTTACAATTTTCTAAGGTTTTTGGAAAAATAATAGAGGCAAAATGGTCCAAGGGGCGATACGTAGTGGGTTAGGGAGGGCTGTTGTGGCAAACTTACGTCAATGTTTTGAAGTGGTGACAAACTTTGTCTTCCTACCCATCAATGTTTTCCTGCATGTCTGAAATGCATTCACAATTCGAAGAAATAATTCTCTTCGCATACGAAAACGTCTACAAAATATATGATCTGGTTAGATTGGATGGTCAGAGAAATAATCACTCTTCACAATTTATCTGGATGAACCTTCTTTTTCTACGAACTTCATTATCATATTGATATGCTTGAAGTAACTCGTGGCTTCGTTGAACGATTGATGAAATCATTTCAACTTCTAAATCGTTAGTGTCATCACCATCTTCACTATCGGTGGATAATGATGAATTAGACTCGGATCTATATGAATTTTGAGGCATTTTTGGAGGATTCTAATTGGATTTAAAGTGTGTAACTATGATTTGCAGAATGAGAAAAAAATATGTGAGTTTGCTTTGAATATATAGACATCAACGTATATGTATATTGACCATTAATTGAGTTATCAAATTGATAAGCGTGCCACAGCTAGAGCTGTCAATTTGGCCCGTCTCTTTGANGAGGAACCTAGAGACGAAAAATGACAACCTTACTTGTTCACACACATTCAAAATGGGTAGCTTATTTCTTAACAAGGCTATTGAGAATGAAATCACCAGCAGAGACGAAATCCAGAAACGAAAAACTCGAGCATGAAATACATAGCAGATTGATTAACATGAGGTGCTTCGATAATTATTTGCCGACTGGGATGAACTTTTTGCTTTGACGAGGATTTTGGGGATGAGACAATTGATGAGTCTACTGAAGCCAATTGCATTGGTTGAGGGGATTTTATAATTGGGAAGACAAATTCAGGAAAAAAAAAAATAGGGAAGCGGGTTTAATTGATGGCGCCCTATGTGGCATGTGCACAACCAGGTTTGAAAAAAAAAATAATTAATTGGCAGGCCTGGCCCGCCAAACCCGCAGTCCAAGGCAGGGCGGGTTGGGCCTGCATTTCCTAGGCCCGCTAAGATAGCGGGCTACGGGTCGCCCCGCCCTGTCCCGCCGGCCCATTTTGATAGCTCTAGCCACAGCTCATGCCTTATCTTCTGACGTGTTTATTTGTGCCATATTGATTAACTTTTCATAGTCATATCTTATCTTCTGACATATTAATTTTGACCAGCAAATTGATTAGTATAGACATCTATTGCATATAGCTGTCATTCATGACCCATACTTTATTTTCTAGCACATTAATTGAGTTATCAAATTGATAAGCGTGCCACAGCCCATGCCTTATCTTCTAACATGTTTATTTGTGCCAGCAAATCGATTAACTTTTCATAGTCACATCTTATCTTCTGACATATTGATCTTCACTAGCAAATTGATTATTATAGACAACTATTGCATATAGTTGTCATTCATTTGAGTTATCAAATTGATAAACGTGCTACAACCCATGCCTTACCTTCTGACAATGTTTATTCGTGCCAACAAATTGATGACTTTTTAGAGCCATATCTTATCTTCTGATATTTATTTTGACCAGCAAGTTGATTAGTCATATTGTTTAAAAGACAATACATTTCCTAAGTACAAAGAACAATTTACGTGAAAGACATACTACAAATTTAATTTTGAACAAGAACAATTTAATGAAAGAGTGACTAACAATTTAACAAGAACAAGAACAACTTAAATGAAATACAAACTAAATGTTCAATATCGCAAATCACAACATACAGAAATACAAGGATAATTTAAACAGATAATACAAAGTCTACAAGTTTCATTTCTCTCGAATTGCTTGACACATTTTTTGATGAGAAATACGTTGCTCTTGGTTCATGTGGCTTGTGTCCTTCATAAAAATATCATAGTCTTTTCGACGATTTTTCTGCTTCTTCTCCTCAAGAGTAGCTTTTTTAACTTCAACTTCAGCTTTTTTCAAGCTTGTCAACTCAACAAGATGCTTAACCATGTTGTATTTTGTGGCCATCTCATCAAGGTTATATTTGCGTTTGCCCTTGGCCTTTCGTTTGGCTGCCTTCTGTCCGATTGGGCGAGCCACTTCATGAACTTCATCTATTTCAATGTTTGCATCCCCCTTTGATGAAGTATTGTTGGCACCAGACTCATCAATTCTCGCCTTTTTTCTCACAACAAATATATCATTACAAGACTATGGAGTGTACATCGGACGATCTTTAAGGATTCTCCATACATGCTCATTATTAAAGGCTACACCATCATTCTCAATACGATATTTTTTGTAAGCGCGACTTAATATATCCTCATCGCTACAACCACTTCGATAAACACTGTAAATACTGTTATAGCACTCATTGAATCGATACACCATTTTTTGAATCGTATTATGCCAGTGAGATCTTATTATATTAAAATTTATGTGAATATAATCAGAAGGTGTATGTTCGTTATAATAATTTGCAACACTTACCCAAAACGTTTCGGCCTTCTTATCATTACTGGTAATTGGGTCGTCACTTATTGTCATGTAAGCTTTTGCCGATAGCACATCCTCTTCCTTGTCCATTATGGACGTTTTTTTCGGCCCTCAGCAGCAACACGTGTGTTTTTTGGCATTTCAACATTAATGGTTGCTTCTAGATCCTGAAATTGTGTTTCCGGAACGTAAGTTTGAGTATGAGGTTCTTTCCTCATTTGAGATCCGGAAGATTAACTCAATTGTTGCGGAGAAGATTGCACCAAATTTTGACTACTTATGTACTGCCAATATTCAGGCGGTGGGTTTTGAACTAAAGCTTGTGGAGGATATTGTGAATATTGAATATTGGTGGAATTTGGATAATTTTGGGATTGTTGTTGCATAAAAGGAAAATTTGATGGGTATTGTGGAAAAATTGTGCAGGATAAGGAGCTTGTAAAAATTGTAAATTTAGCGGAGTTTGTGAATTTTGGAAGAATGAAATTTCATCTGGATTGCTAGGATTAGAACTTGAGAAATTTTAAAAATTCTACCTATTATTCGTATCCATTTTCTTTAACACAAGTGAGAAGTTGCTAAATTTTTAGGTGCAGAAGAAGTGTAA